GGAAAATATCCCTGGGCATTTTGGTTTATAATTTGAGTGTATTGGGGAACATAATGGGGACCATGCTGGGTGTGTTTTTGGACACTTATTTTCGGCATTGTAAAATAAGAAGAAAGGGAAATTGTGGCTTGGTTTTCTTTGGATTCCTGGGAATGGATTGTGAAGTGCTGGGATTGGTTATTAATGTGGTGATGGGTTGAGGGTAAGTATGGTTAGGGTGCATGGTTTGATGATGATTTCATTCCAGAGGGGGTCATAACACTTGGACATTATTCCACTGATTTCCTTAAGGACTTGAGGGTGATTTGTGGTGCTCTGGGATATATCATAAAGTTAAGTAAATTCTTAGCCAACCCAAACAACATTCTTCCAAACGGAAAAATATCCAATTTGCATCTATATTTTCCTTAAAAAAAGATGATTGCTACTAAAATGAAATCTCAATCAAACAACCAAGAATTCAATTAGCAATAAACTCACAAGATTAATTAAAAAGCATGCATCCAAATTAATCAAACTGATGAATTCAATAAAAAGTATCTCATAAAGAACATAGAATATCATGAAAAATAAAACATTTAGCATGAAATCTCACGAATCAAATCATAATTGAGAGGTAGAACCAAGAATTGGTGCAGGAAGAAGAACTCTGGTTGAGAGCTGCGCTGCGTCCGTTGCTCTGTGCGTCTTCTCCGTCCCAGAAGCCCCGGGATCTAAACTTGACATCTTGACAGTTGTAGTTTTTCGGGTAGTAAACCTTCCCAATAAAGGGTTAGTTTTCTCTCCGAGTGTCGTGTCTCTCGGGGAGTGGACGAAGGGAATCAGTTTAATTACTCTAACTAGGAGAAGATTAGGATTGGTTTATGAAAGTATTCTCGAAACGATTATAAAAAGAGCAGAGTAAAAATAGTAAATTAAGTTTACATAGTATAAGTAGAAATCTGGACCTAGGGTCTGGACATCATTCGGATCTATGTTATCCTATTAAGTTAACAATTGGAATAATACTACTCATCCATTTCTAGATTTGTACTTAATCCGTTGCACTTGAATATCATAGCCTTTTGGCATACAATATTTTCTCAATAAATAGCTAATTAAATCCTTCGAGTTTAATTAACTAAATAAGGCAAGAACAATAGATTAATCATTCCAACATTAATTTAACATCAAAAAATAAACAACCAAACTAGTCCGGACCTAGAGATCCGGACCCTAACTCATACTATGCAAACATAAATTAAAATATCATTTTATTAAATAAAGAAAACTTACAACCTCCATACAAGCGGAACAGAATAGATCTGGAGTTGAAATCTCCGAAAATACCTCAAAACTACTACTAAAACTAATATACAAGCTAAAAATGGAG